CTCACCAGCTCCATATGGGAAGGGCGCTGCAGCAATAAACGATTAGCAGGGGCCAGCCTTCTGGCATCTTGTGCCAGGCTGGAATTCACTTTTAAATTCTGAGACCAGGTGATTGGCCTTATTAAGATTCCTGTTAAAGGAATTGGCTTTGGGAGCTTACCTATATTCAGCAGATTTTCCCTTTGATGACTCAAGAGTACTCTTATTTCCAACTTAATGCCTACAGATACACTCACCCGCTTTCTGCCACCCACCTCCATTCTTTAAAAAAAAAATCATCTGGCCAAAATCAGATTAAGAAGTAGGAAGATTCTATCGCAAGATGGCAACAAGAGAAAGACTTGAGCTGCCCCGTGGCTCTTTGAGTTCCCCCATGACAACCATGCTTCCTATGGTTGTGCCGACCTCTCAGGCACATCCTGTAAGACATTGGAGACCCATCCCCGTAATACAGGACCCACCATGCCCCCTCCTCCGTCAAGTGGAAAATCACAGCTCAACACTTCCCATCCTTTAAAAGGACTGGATTTCCCTAGCCCTCTTAACAGAATGTGTTCATCAGTAGTAACCGTGGCAACAGATCAGACAGACTTCAAAAAGCCTGTCTGTATGTAATTAAGAAAAACGAGGAAGCAGCCGTGAGAGCAGGGAGCTCAGACAAGGAGACCATGGTGCTGAGCCCCACAAGGCAGTCACTGAAGGCTTTTGCTTATGAAGATGGCAGATATTCTTGCTCCCTTCCATTCTCCCTCTCTGCTCCCCTCTGCCACATTTTTGCCTCTTCTTCGAGATGTTGCTGGGGCCCAAATTATGGCTTAACAGGTCCTGCAAGAGTAGGGCACCAAACCCAGGAATAACATCTAAATGGGTAGAAAGTGGTCCTAGCACCTTCTTCTAGGGAGATTTATACACAGGCCAAACCTGCTATGGTCAGGCTCTTCATTCAGGCTGGAGAGAGGCTGGACAGCCTGCCTGGAGGAATGCACCCATCTCATTGAGACACTAGAGCACAGACACCTGAGGTCATCATTGTTTTATACTGAGACAGGAGGCTGTGGCTTGCCAGGCCTAGAACAGGCCTCCTGGGAATAGGGAACAGCACTCAGCATTGTCGGGAGGCATCAAGGATAGGACTATTTTATTTCCTAACACTTATTCTTCTCTGAAATTATTTCATTTCTCCTTGTATTTCCTTCTATCCTGTCAGTTTTCTCTCTCTAGCAAGAACATTGGCTCCGTAAGAGCAGAATCTTGGGTTGTTTGTTTTTTTTTTTTTTTCTACCTCCCAAGTGCCTGGGAGAGAGTTCATGGAGTATTTGTCAAAAGAGTGAACGAATGAGAGAATGAATAATGAATGGGGTTGCAGTCATTGCTCTGGCTCAGATGTGGGTCACCTCCACTAATACGCACTAGCTCCATTCTATGAGATGGACAAGACACTCCTGCCCATGAGGAGGTGAGGGAATAACACACAGCAGAGCACAGTGGTCCTTTGGGTCCACTCCCAGATAAGGCCTTGAATGTGTGTTCTTGCTTCTTGGAAGAAAAGGATCAGATTTAGTCACCCCAGGACTCAACAACCATGGCCCTGATGAGCAACCATTCATGTCCCACAGGTGCATTTACTCTGAAAAGCTCAGGCGAATGAAGAAGAGCTGTGATTATTTCACGCAAAGGCTGTTTCTCAATAAACATGGAAACAAGGGATTCTTGGAAATTCCTTGGTTTTCTTTTTGAGCAGCTGGGAGCAAATGAACGAATGTGGAGCAGTACTGACCAGCAAACCAGTTCTTCACTTCTTACTTTTATCTCACCAAAGCTTCTGCCACTTAGGGCCACAAACAACAGGTCCTCACTGATGTTTCTGCACCAAAGCCCCTCTTCATGCCACAGTAAGGCATCTTGGCTCACTCTGGAGAGGGATGCACATTTAGGACCTTCAGCCATGTATGCTGAACAAAAGTGGAAAACTCAGTGGACAGGGCCTCTCCCAGGTGAATTGATATCTGGGCTTAGAAATCACTGAAATAAACCAGACACTTTCCCCTGCCCAATAGGAGGCCACCATGTGATGAGGATGACACAGAGGAAGAGACTTTCACAATGCAAAGATGAAATCTAGAAATGGGCTTATGAAAGCCCAGAAAGGGAGGGCATGATTGCTGGACATCAGGCAAGGTTCCTGGAGAAATGGGTGCTGGAGCTCAAAGGGTGAACAGGAGTTTGTTAAATAGATAAGGAAGGAGAATAATTCCAGATAGAGAGAATAATACCGTGCAGGCACCCAGAGGAATGAAGAGAGTATAGTGCACACAGGTCATCACAGGAACGTTCCTAGGAGATGCACTATAAGGGACAAGGGTCAAGTGCCTGAGATGAGATCAACAGCAGGAAGATCCCAGGGGACTTGAGTGCCATGGAAAGGAGAGCAAATATTCCAGGTAATTGGAATGCAGAGGGCTTTGAGCAGAAGAAAGCTATGATCCCATGTGCATTTCAGAGCTCACACTCTAGCAGAAGAGAATGGATCGGAGAGATGCAGAAGTGATGCTGGAGAATTAATTAGGAGGTTTTTGCAATAGGGAAGGCAGGGAAACTGATGAGATCTAGAGTTCCAAGGCTGTGGGGATATAGAGAAAAGGAAATAGATGAGGAAAAAGAGGTGGAGCTGACAGATTGTGGTGATAGTCGGTGTGTTGGAGGATACAGAAGATGTGACTCCTAGGGCTTGGCTGGTGACTTCACAGAGGTTGACAAGGAAAGTAAGGGCCTAGTTGTGTTCTTGGGTTTGCCAATCAGGAGGACAAAGGAGAAGCTGTCATGGTAGAGGAGTAGAGAAGTAACCAGGTTGCAAATGACTGAGCAGAGAGGGAGGAGAGACAGTTTCTTCTTTGGAAAAACTTGACTGGAGAGTAACAAAGAGAGGTTGTGCAATGTACAGGTGTCACTTGGTAGTGTTGGGTTTGAAAATGGCAAAAACTTATATGGGTTTAAGTTAAGAAGCTGGAGTCAGGGGAGAGGATTGAAGCTCAAGTGAGAGAGGAGATCATTGGGAGAGGGCTGTCTCCAAAGGTGGGAGGGATGGACGGGCACTTTCTTGGTTGGTACCTACCTCTTCCCTTCCACAAGAAGCTGCTTTATGCAGGACAGCATGAAGATGCAATAAAATAATGTCTTTCAAAAACATTTACCCCACATCAGCATAGAGTACACACTCAGGGAATATATTTATTATGAGGATGAGACACAGTGGCCTGTGGGTGAGATTAGACTGTCTGCAACAATGGTGTTGACTGCTGGGAGCCTGTGGTCTGAGTCTCACCTGCCTGAAGCAAACAGAGGTGTCCAAGACAGGTATTGACTTATATGGTTTGCTAACAAACTGCACAGTGTGGGGCAACACTGTCTTGGCCCAGTAACAGTCCTCTTAGGAAACTACAGACTGCTGTCTGAGCTATATACTGATTTGAAGAGAGATGTATATATATTAATCCTGGACAGATAGGTAGGGAATTCTTGAACACTCTTTGCAAGACTTTAGTAAAAATGCTCCATGAATTCTGCCCTGTCACAAATGTACATGAGTGCCATGCATTAGCTTAGGCCTAATGGGCTTTATACAGTACAGTACTGATTTTCTTTCATGTTTTAATAGAATCCGGTTTAATATTTGCTTTCTGCTCTCACTGCTTGCTGTTGACTGATTCAACACACAATCCTTCACTGGTGCCCCCCGACCTTGTTGTTATTCCCTCATTTTGTATGTTGGCATTTGATTCCTGTCTCCAGCATGAACCACTTTACACATGTCTTCGTTCAGCTGGCGATGGTCACGTGTGTGAATTCTGAATGCATTACTATCCAGAACGGCTGCTCCAGCAGATCCGCCATTCAGAAGGGGGGCTTTGGGCAGGATTCATTTCCAACTGCTAGACACTGAGGATATGCAAGGCTCAGGCTTAGGAATCAGATGATAATCAGTCCTGTTCTTGGAAACAAAGTTCTCTAACTTCATCTCAAAATGCCCAGCACTGTGACCCTTAACTCAGCAACATTTTACTCCCCTACAAGGTACCAGTTTTCCAGAGTTTTGTAACAAAGCATTTCCACTTTTGTGGGATTGTGAACAGTCATAAACTGAGCAGTTCAGAGGGAAGAAAACCCCCCTGTCTTGACTGCAGTGAGCCTGACTGGTTTGTAGGAGACAGAGTCTGTTCAGGGCTGGGCTATGGTTAAGAGTATGAGCTTTAGAATCAGGATGATCTGACCTTTCATACTGTCTTCAGTTCTTACACACGGTCGGTAGCCAGTCTCTGTAAGCTTTAATGTCCCTAAATACTTGAGATAATTATTGCATGTTCCTGGAAGGACTCCTTGGGTAGGGGAATAAATGAAATAGTGCAAGTAAATTAGCTCGGAGAGTGAACCGAGCACACTCCTACACTTCTCTTGTGTCATGGGGTCAAAATGGAATGTGCAAATCTCTCCCATGTCCAAGGCTGCTTCTTGTTTCATTCATCAAAGGTCATTCAATGTGAGGTGCTATTGTAGGCTGTCCTGAGTCACTGCATGGATCCTTTGTTGTGTTAGATTTTGTGCACGATATCCCTCTACCCTTGAGGGATAGATAAGAAAAGATAAGGAATTCACTGAGTGTTCAATATGCACGCATTTTATTAGCCTGAAACCTGGCTGGAGGGTGTGGCTTGGTTTTTAGAATAAAAGGACTTGAAATCACTTCCCCAGACCCCTCCCTTGTCACATATGATTGAAAGAAAGAAAGCCTCAGTGAGGTTGATTGACAGGGGCATTTGGGACAGGTTGTCATCTCTGTCCACCATTTTTTTTTTCCATAGAATGGATTGGAGCACGGAGGCTTGGGTTTGAGGAAGGGGAAGGCATAATGATGAGGGTGAGCAGGTACCAGAGGCAGTCCAGATTGGCACTGGACAAGGAAGCTTCTGCCCAGCCTTACTGGGCTCCTCTTTGTCTCCCTGCAGGCGTCCCATCAGGTCCCCAAAATGTCATCTCCATCGTCAATGAGACGTCCATTATTTTGGAGTGGCATCCTCCAAGGGAAACTGGTGGGCGGGATGATGTGACCTACAACATCATCTGCAAAAAGTGCCGGGCCGACCGCAGGAGCTGCTCCCGCTGTGACGACAACGTGGAGTTTGTACCCAGACAACTGGGCTTGACTGAGTGTCGTGTATCCATCAGCAGCCTATGGGCCCACACCCCCTACACTTTTGACATCCAGGCCATCAATGGAGTCTCCAGCAAGAGTCCCTTCCCCCCACAGCATGTCTCTGTCAACATCACTACAAATCAGGCAGGTAAGTCTGGAGTGTTCTGTGTTCCTTCTCTGTGTGGCTGGTTATTTGTCCATCTGTGTAGGGACACAGCTGCATTTATATCCACTCTGGCAGTCTGCTCTTGGACTACTTCCCAGGAGTGAAGGTGTTAGGTTAGAAGGCAGTTGTGGCTGTGGAAGAGGCTGTTGTAGTGTTTCAGCTTTGACAGTGAGCTGGAAACTAGGGAATTTTCTTATGCCCAACATGAAAATAAAGATACATATCCAAGTTAGAGCAGAACCCAGTGCTCTGCATCCAGCCAGAGCTCAACAAATGCTGTTGGAAAGATGAATGGAAGGATGGACAGATGGATGGGTGGATGGGCAGATGAATGGATGGATGAGTGGATGGGCAATTTATAGACAGATGTAAAGGTAGATGGGTAGTTAGACAGACAGACAGACAGATGAATGAATGGGAAAAGCATTGCAAGATTTTGAGAACAGGAGCACCAAGAATGCTTTAATGGAAAACTCAACGAAAGAAACTTCTCAGAAATCATACAATAAAAGCAACATTGCCTTCAAAGGTTATTTTTCAATTAAACCCCTGTTTTTCAAGAGTGCATCCTCCCTCCTTTATAGCTTGCTCAGACAGAGCTATAGTGTTGTAGAGACCTCAGATTGGTGGCAACAGATCACTCCTGATAGCCAGTATATCCCAGTGGCAATGCACACCTCAGAACACATTTTCTTTTCTTCTCTTTATTTCTGTACATCTTACTCTTCTGGTCTTTTCTCTTTGTTGCTTTTCACACCTCTTACAACAGTACATTTCTTTTTATATCCATTTAGCCAGTCCATTCATGTACTAACTCACTCATTTATTTACTCATTAATTATTAAGTGACAGTTATTTAGCATTTACTCTATACCATGCTGTGGATTCGATACTGTGAGAGATGTGGTGATACTTTGACACTATCATTCTTCCCGTGAAACTCACTAACTGAAGAATTTACAGGACATAGACAAAATATACAGAACTGCATGGTGGTGTATTCTAAGCATTGTACGCTGCAAACGTGCAGTAAATTCCAAAGGAGTAAGAGAGAAAAGAGCAGCCTTTCTCCTCTGTGATTGTACAAGGCTGCAGAGGAGATGTGAACATCATGTCGCTACAAGCAATGGGGGTCATGGGCAGTAGACCATGATCTTACTTAGAATTATAGATTTTTCTCAATCAACAAATTCTGTAAGGACAGTTTCTTAGTAGAATAGCAGTAACTAAGCATCTCTCTCTGCTCTTTCCTCCTCCATGTATCTCCCCCTTTTTGACCTCCTCTTTCCTTACTCAGTTCTTTTCTCCTTCTCGCTTCCCCATCCCCAGACTTGTTCTGCCTCTTTTAATACCAGGCATCTTTGATGGCAGATGATTCTTGGGTTTAAGCTGTCAGAACTGAGAAGAAAAAAAGGTGTTATAGGAGAGCATAGCTGTCCAGATGGCTGTGTTGTTGCTGTGTGTGTGTATGTGTGTTCATGTGGTGTGTTTGTATGTATGTGCGTGGTCACGTGTTTACATGCATGTGTGTATAGTGAGAAACTAAGACTGGAAGTGTAGACACTTCCAGCTGGTGACCAAAGCCCTGGTGCCATGGAGACAAAGGTTGTGACGGTCTGTCTTACTCAAAGAAAAGAGAATGGTAATTTCTGCATTGTGTTGGGCATGTAACATGGACAGCCTTTGTTAGCAGTATTTCCCTTGGAGAGTTTAAGGCAGAAAACTGGCTGAAATATTTTAGTGTCCCAGCTTCTGGGAATAACAATTCTGCCAGGCTGTCATGTTACACTGGGCTTGGCTGTCTTTTCTCTCTCTCTAAGCATGTGTGAATAAACCTGCCACTTATATCGGTTTGCTTTTACTTCTTCCCCTCCCTTCCCTTAGCTTGCTATTCCCGAACCTGCCCATCTGCTTGTCTTGCCATCTGCACTTTCCCAGGATGCAGTGGAGCTGAGGGACCAGTGCTCCTGTAAGAGGCCCTGCATTATCAACATTCAAAATATTTATTTTTATCCCCACTCATTTGCTCCTCCACAAACATATTCCTTACGTCCTTTGTTCTTCCTCTAACAGACCCTTTATTCCTAATCTTTCCTGATTTTATAGTCCAAGCCTCCATTATTGACTTCCAACCAGTGAGTCCAATTCTACAATTCTGGAATTTTGGCATCAGAAAGTTTGCAAGTAGTGAGAAAAGGATGCAACTACTTCTTGGTTGTCCATGATTGGGCATAAAGCAAATATCAAATTGACTAGTGGTTCCTAATATGCGGGCTATGGGGCTCTGAGAATGTGGTGGTATCACACTGGTTTGAACACATATAAGAATGGAAATAGTCTCCAACCAACAGATTGCATTTGTAAAGATGGAAGCCATCAACATAAACATCCGAGCGTTTACTTTGATAAGAACATTTTAGACACATGAAGAGATAGAAGAGAGACTAAATAGTAAGCATCATAAAAGCCTGATGTCTCTAATCTATTCAGAGATGAGGTGGGTATACCTGTGTACCACCAATAGGTCATGACCTATTGTATACCCCTGAACTCGTCCACTTTGGGTGAGATCAAGACAGCCTCCCTCCCCTGGCTTCATTTATGATCCATGTAGGTAGCTATGGCCACTATTGTCCTAGTGTTTGGGTCACAAGTAAGTTGATGACAGGTAAAGAATTTGACCAAGAGCAGTCCTGGAATCAATCATTAAGATAACCTGTGTTTATTGAGTGCCAATACTGTACCTGGAACTCCTTCGACTGTGAGATGGTTGGGCACTGTTGGGTGGGACCTCACTGAGGAATAGATGACTCATGATTACTATAGTTGACCTCTGATGTGTATGTGCCTTTTGAGTTCACAAAGAATTCTGGTGCATGTGGACTCATTTGATCTTCATAATTATTCAGTGATGGACATTATTTTTCCAATTTTTCAGATAAAGAAGCAGAGACTTATAGGGATTTGGAGAATCTACAATTAGAAGAGTGTCAACAGGTTAGAAATGAGTCAATAAGACGCTATTTCTGCCTTCCTATGTCCTGTCCTAAAAGTAGACAATCCCTGTTGGATCACTATTTCATAGTCCCTAACAATAGATTTTTCTAGACTGTGAGCGTTGTGATCTAAGAAGGGAATTTGGAGAGTCTGTAATCTTCTTCTGGATCACTGGGCACCCAGCCCATAGTTATTCACTCAGAGGCAAACTTGACTGCAGAATACCATGGACAATATTGAGTCTTGTGACTTAATATCTATCTTCCATCACAACCCCAGTCATGTATGTAGTCAGAATATTCAAAGACCTTGTATCACTTGGAGACTCTCAGGAGTGGATCCTCACCAGACTACAGGCAGTGATAGAAAACTGCCATTTCTGAGCACCTCCAATGTGCCCACCCCTGGGAAGTTCTCTGCAGAGATGTGGTCAGTCAGATGAAGAAATCAGTGTCAGGGTGGTTTTGGAATTTGTTCAGCACCTTACAGCCAGAAAATGCTGTTTCTGGGTTTTAAACTCAGGTTTGTGGCCATTTTATCCTCAGACTGATTAAAAAACACACACACACACACATTATGGTGGACCATGTAAGTTGTAAGCTCTTTCAAAGTTACTGCCATATAGCTGGGCCACTTTAGCTGTCAAAAATATGTCCATCATCTTTGGTCAGGGTCACTCATGAATTATGCAAGTTTGGATTTACGTGAGGTCTTCAGGGATGCATCCTTGCACTGAATACAGCTGCCATGAGTTTAAAATAGATGAGATCAGGTGAACTCTCTCATTCCAGTGGCCAAGCCATCCGTAGAGAGGTTGTTATCGCCACTAACTTCCACAGTCGTTCTCTGGCACCTGGCCCCAGATTCAGACTGATAGCTGGATCATCTGGCTGTCAGAGAGCATTAAGTGAATGACAAACTTTTCTTCTCTTTTCTGCCAAGTAGACTCACAGCATCAGAGTTGGAAAAGGAGACCTCAGAGGAGATCATGGGAGGAAAAGGTTAGACTTGGGATTATTGAAGCCAGAGAGAACAAACTCAAAGACTCATGAGGTCAGGCAGTAGGGCTTGGTTGATTGTGGAGTGAACTGAGAACACAGATTCAGCACTACTGTGCCCAGTCCTGCCTGATTTTATAAACTAAAAATCCAAATTTAAAATGTTGACAACTGATCAGAACATTTTAAAGCATTTGAGAGCCAAACAAATCCAATTCTGGACTTGGCCTGCTGGCTATAGCTTGCAACCTCTGATTTTGAGGGCTAATCTGATTCACCCAAGACTTAATGATGAGCTGCTGTGTTGTTCAGTCTTAGTCCACCCTGGGGCAGGTCTCTTCCTCATCTCTTGGGCACATGGGGGGATTCTTGGTGTTGGTTCCCCTCACTGCTCTCCACATGACTTATACAAATTCATTTAACTGCCAAGATACCTCATTTCTTGCCTGTAGCATAAAAACTATGATTCCTGTTCCCTAGTACTGTAGTGACAAGCAAATGAGACAGCGGCTGGAAAATCACTGTGTACACCATGCTATGGACTAGGAGATTAGCATCATTTCTGAGAACATGTCCTGGCCAGACAGCAATTTGCTGGATGTTTTCTCCCTGGGCTGCTTCCTACCAAGGCTTCTCAGTCTCTTTGTTTGGGATTGGTGTTATCTATATACGATACGTAACAGATATCCATTTGTCTGTTCTGTGCTGAGAGGAATAGGCACCATAAAGTGGGGGGGCAGGTCTACATCCCAGTGAGCTAATGATGAGGGTGGGACTCAGAACCCACGTATCTAGCACAGGGTTATTCTGTCACTTGGAATGTCTTTCTTCATTGTACGCGTGAAGAAGCAACACTTCCCCCCTTACGATTCCATCAGCACGATTTATAGCTGACATTTATATTATACACAATTCATGTATGGCCTGCTGTGCTGACTGCACGTGGAAGTGGAATTGTATTCATCATGCACACAACACAGACACAAT